CGGCCTGCTCTGTCTCTGCCACTTGCCAGCTACGCCTCGGCCGGCGCAGGGGGCGGAACCACGCATGCGCGGTGCTCCTGGGCAGGGAAAGTCCTCGACTTACGACTGGCTTAGTCCTCGACTTACGACCGGCTTAGTCCTCGACTTACGACCGGTTGGGGGTCGCGGCATTAAAAAGGTTGAGAACCACTTAAAACCAAGACAAGGCTGAGCGATAATTCAGCCACTCTTTCTGCCCAGCCTACCTCGCAGGGCTGTTGTGAGGGTCCAAAGTGGGCAAGGATGCCACAGACCTTTGGCAGGCAACATGCACGTGGCATAAATACAACTGCACCCATTCAGACATCGATAAACGAGCTTTAATCCATTCCAACGCAAGCCACCCTTCTATCTCCAGTCATTCTGCCACCCACTGCAATTCCATTCCTCCCCTTCCTTTTTTCCTTTCCTCTCCTCCATTTTTCCTTTCCCGCCCCGCCTCTTCCCGAAACCCCCAAGGCGACGGGCCAGAGCCGGACCGTCCTCGCCCTTCGCCCCACGCCAAGTTCAGCCGCAGCCACGCCGCAGGTCGGCGCCCACGTGTGCGTGAAAGGCGTGAGAGCCGGGCGAGGCGTTTGCCTTGTTCCCGGCGTCGGCCAGCAGAGGTCTCTGCCTCTCCCCGGAGGAGGAGCCGCTGCTAGCGGCTTTCTCCCTCCGCGCGGGTTGGGGGCTGCGCTTTTAACTTCAGATGCTTCCGACTCCATTGTGGTTTGCCATCCAGCTGCCGCCGCCGCCGCCGCTCCTCCGAGCTGGATATTCATTTCTCGCTTTGCAAGGGATGTAGAGCGCCCGTCTCTCTCTTTGTCTTGCCCGGCTGCCCTGGGAGTTGGGCGGCACGAGCGGGGGCCCCTGACGCCCCGGGGACGGACCCCGCTGCCCTTGGTTCATAAGCGGGAGCTTCCAGGTAAAATGAATGGAGCGATCCCGGCGGGCGCACGAGGGAAGGGAGCGGGGGAAAGATCCGAGGGGGAGGCAGGGAAGGAGGGACTCCGCTCCGCAGGATCAGGATCAGGCTGGTTTTAAAGAAAAGGCTTTGCAAAGCGGGCGGGGGGAGCCGCGGGGGATCCATTTTCAGCCGGAGCTGCTCCGTTCTCTTCGTTAGCCTCCCCCCAAGGCGGTGCAACTTTTCCTTCGGTTCCAAAAATAGACGATCTTAGAGGGTGGGGTTCGATCCAAGGATTCGTGCATAGGGAGGGATATGCTTGGCCGCGACGAGGGTGGGGGGGCGCTGCGTGGAATGATTGTCCCGGTTATCAATTGGGAAAGCGAAAAGGCGTTGTTTTTTTTTCCCAAAGGAAAATGGCTCGGTTCCCTTCCTCCTTTTTTTATTGCATTGGCTTCGATGGAGGCCTGGGCTCTCCGTTTGAAATCCTATCCCCCGCCTCCCCCCGACATTCAGATCTGTACAGATGGGTTGTGATTGCGGATTGGCGAGTGGTGGTAGTGGTGGTGAGGGGGGGGGGCGGAATGCTTTGCACACGCTCAGAGGAACTCTCCGGATTCCAGCCAGGCTCTCATTTGAATTTTAATAGCCTTCTTTGGGATTCAGAGGTGGAGGTGCGGGGGAGGGACGTGCCCTTGATTGCTAAAGATTTGATTGTTTAATTTTATGAATTGCTGTCTGCGTCCGCCTACGTTTTAGACAGCCCTGTAAGCTCTGCTAATGGAGCAGAGGAGGAGGAGGAGGCAATAAATAAAAGGAGGAAGGGAGGAAAACGAAAGACGGTAAATACCCACGCTTATTCCAAAAGCGTTTGAATGGCCAGTCTGCTTATTGAGACCAGTAAGAAAGTCTAAAATTGTGGGCAAGCTTTGGAGTCCTTCAGGACTCTTCATCAGACTGGATGGGAATTAAATCTGGCTTGCTGCTAAAGTCATAAAGCCTGCATCTGGTTGCAGCCTTGAACTAGGGGTGTTGGAGGAAATGATAAATATAATTGAATTAGGCCCTGTTTAAGTGCTATGCAGTTTGCCCCAAGGAATGCTGGGAGAGAAAAAAAAATGAATGGCTATTCAGCCTCTCTGCCTTTTAAAGAAAATCCAGCACATTTACCTCCAGATTGAAGTGAAATCTCTTATTAGTCATGGTGGACAAGAGCCCTAATCGCTCTTAATCTAAACAAATATCTATTCGTACTGCATCTTGCCTGCAAGGCAATTAAGGGCGTACATTGTATTAAGAAGGATGTGTAGTTTCCTTCGTTTTGCAACAATCCTGTCAGGTAGGTGAGTGCAGGAGGCCTTGTTCAATCCAAGGTTATGAAGTAACTTTCAAGGGGGATCTGCTAAGGTAGCCTCTTTCTGCAGACATTCCCCAGCCTGCTTTATGCCCTCTGAAGGCAAGCAGCTTCTCAGGGGTTGACCATTTCTTCCAAGAACAGATGTTTATGAGGAACATGTTTATGCTTTTGTGGCTTCAGTAATGAGAATTTTTTTTTAATCTCCCCATTCCCATTCACTATTTTGCTGAGCATCCAGATTTACTCATGATCCTAAAACATCTTGGCATGATTTTTATTGTATTTTTTTTTCCTGAATGGACCAACCCAGCATCCCATGCTTTTCATTTACATATAAAGGTCATCATCAACTTGCAACAATTCGTTTATTGACCGTTCAACGTTACAACTGAAAAAAGTGACATATGACCGGTTTTCACCCTAATGACTGTTGCAGCATCCCCACAGTCACGTGATCAGAATTCGGATGCTTGGCAACTGGTCCATACTTATGACGGTTGCAGTCTCCTGGGGTCACATGATCACATTTGGCAACCTGACAAGCAAAGTCAATGGGGAAGCTAGATTCGCTTAACAACCTTGATACTAATTTAACAAGTGCAGTGATTCACTTAACAACTGACAAGAAAGGTCATAAAAAAAGTCAGCGTGGAAGCCAAGATTCATTTACTAACCGGGATACTAACTTGACAACTGCAATGATTCACTTAACAACTGTGGCAAGACAAGTCATAAAATTGGGCAAAACACACTTAACTGTCTCACTTAGCAACATAAATTTTGGGCTCAGTTGTCATAAGTTGAGGACTATCTGTATAGATTTTCCCCATTAAAAGGGCTGGAAAATAACAGGGTAGTGCCTTTTTCTCTGCCATGGATCATCTCAGAATAGAATAGAATAGAATAGAATAGAACCTTGGAGGTCTTCTAGTCCATCCCCCTGTTCGAGCAGGAGAACCTATATCATCTCAGACAGGTGTCTATCCAGTCTCTTCTTAAAAACCTCCAGTGATGGAGCGCTGAGGGCACGCTGTTCCACTGGTTAATTGTCCTCACTATTAGAAAGTTTCTCCTTAATTCCAGGTTGCTTCTCTCTTTGGTCAGTTTCCAACCATTGTTTCTTCTCCTGCCCTCTGGTGCTTTGGAGAATAACAAATACTGGGATACTGGTATCATGTCTCCCCTATTTCTTCTTTTCTTTAGACTAGCCAAAACCAAGTCCTGCAGCCGTTCTTCGTATGTTTTAGTCTCCAGGCCTTGGATCATCTTAGTTGCTCTTCTCTGAACTTTTTCCAAGGTCTCAACATCTTTTTTGTAGAATGGTGACCAAAACTGGCTGCAGTATTCCAGGTGTGGTCTTACTAGGGCAAGGATAGGCAACCTTGGCTCTTTTATGACTCTTGGACTTCAACTCCCAGAATTCCTGAGCCAGCATGGCTCAGCTTGGAAACCTCTCCCTTTCCCCTCAGCATGGCTGGCTCAGGAATTCTGGGAGTTGAAGTCCACGAGTCATAAAAGAGCCAAGGTTGCCTACCCCTGTGCTAGGGTTTTATAAAGCGGTACTAATACCGCTTTATAATAGGTAATAATATAGGTAGACACAAGACCCATCTTCACCAAAGAGGTTTAATGGTAGAGGTGACGAGAAGGATCTGAAAGATGAATGAGTGGTGAACTCAGCCTGGTGTATTCATGTATTTATTTATTTATTTTGTATATCAAATTTGGAGATGGCCTATCTCACTGAGTTAAGTGTAGGAGTAATCCTCGACTTACGATCACAATTGAGCCCATCGTTCCTCTTTGTTCAGCAAGGCAGTTAAGTGAGTTTTGCCCCATTTTGCAACCTTTTTTGCCACCGATGTTAAGCAAATCACTGCAGTTGTTAAGTGAATCATGCAGACATTAAGTGAATCATGCTTCCCCCATTGACTTTGCTTGTCAGAAACTGGCTGGGAAGATTACAAATAGTAATCACATGACTCGGGATAGTGCAGCTGTCATAAATACATGCCAGTTGCCAAGGGCCTGAATTTTGATCAGGTGACCATGGTCATAAGTGTGGGAAAACGATCATAAGTCACTGTTTTAAATCCTATGGTAACTTCAAATGGTCGCTAAACAAATGGTTCTAAGTAGAGGACTATCAGTATTTCCATGTGTGTTTTCGCAGATTTTTCTCATTTTTCAAAATAGAAGAGAATATCTGTAGCTCAGGGTTGAATTGTGGGGTCCTTGTCCCTCTTGGAGCTTGGTGGTATTCTTGTAGATGTTTCATTACCCAACTAGGTAACATCATCAGTGCTGGAAGGGAGTAGGGTTTGTCTGTAGCTTGTTCTGCCAGTTTCATTTCTGCCTCTCTTTTTTTCCTGCAGGGCTGGTGGCCCATTGGTGGGATACTGAGAGTTGTAGTCCAAAATAGGTGGAGGTCACAATATAATCAGATTGTTGTCTTTTTGAGGAAGAAAGATGGAAGAAACTGATTTTTTCCTGAGGGGATTCAGATGTAGATTTAGGAGTCTGGAGCAACATAATGCCTTTCTCATTCTCTTATCTAAGTTCTCTTTTTAACAAGCAGGATAAGGACTGGCCCTACTGTATAAAAGTGGGGGAGGGACTTTGGTGTCTACCTAGAAGGCAATTTTAATGAAAGCTCTGCACTATTTCTTTCTGACATCCAGATATTTTTCCTGCGAAGACAACCAGCTACTTCAGAGGGAAATGGCCCAGGCACATTCTGCACAGGTAAATCTGTGACAAATGTAGACAGACGGACAGAGAATTTTATTTCGGTCATTGACCAATAAAAATACAGGCAACAAAAGGAACAACACAAAACTATCCCCAACAGCAGGAACTATTAGCAACCATTTTGGGGCATGTAGCAAAATTGTGCTACTTTTAAAGAAATAAATTTATCTTGATTATTTAACACATAGTGCAAATAAAAGCTATCAGAGTGCCCCAGAAATTCAAATAAAGGACGGGTAATCAAATGGTGGTGAATGTCCCTGTAGAACGTGCAGTACAGAAGAACATAGACTGTGTCATTTATTAAATTTATATACCACCCACCTCACTATTAGAGCGACCCTGGATGGGTTATAGAATGATAAAAAAAATCAGTTTGATATAATGGTTAAGGCACCAGGCTAGAAACTGGAGATCATGAGTTCAAGTCCCACCTTAGCCATGAAAACCAGTTGGTCCAGTCACTTTCTGCAGCCCAACTCACCTCACAGGATTGTGGTTGTGAGGAAAAATAGGAGGAGGAAAGCGTATTGGATATGATCACTGCCTTGAGTTATTTGTAAAAAAAAAAAAGCATATATTGCTTTTTTCTCATATATACATACGTGCACGCGCACATACACACACACACAGCTAGGATTGAGAATCACGTTCTTATAGTCTCTAACGCCAAGCGTTTGGCTAATGAGCCTGTTACACACACACGAGATAATACAAAATGGTTGTGTTTCTATGGCGATCATCGATCTTATCACTGGGACTGTATTAGGTTTCATATGGGGTTTTCCTATATTTCTCTTCATTAAATCAAGCTGAAAATAAGGCTCTTCTAAATGTGGGCTATATGATATAAATATGAGGCTGGTTTAGACCCTAAGAAGTGATTATTTACAATTATATTCTGAGAGGAAGCAGCAATTTCTGTTTGACCTTCTATATCTAAGAACCTTTACCTCTTGATCTAAGATTAAAATGGCATCATTGGAGAAACCATAGAGGCTTAATTTCTTTTGCATTGCTGTTTCTCAGGAAGACTAGCAGTTGTCTTGTCAATACTCTATTTAGATGGGTCAGTTTGCTAGGGTTGTGATGTAGTTTCAACCAATAGGTGAAGATGTACCTTCACTGGAGCGGTGTTGGGTGAATGGCTAGAGCAGGGGTCCTCAAACATGGCCACTTTAAGACTTGTGGACTTCAACTCCCAGAATTCCCCAGCCAGCATGGCTGGCTGGGGAATTCTGGGAGTTGAAGTCCACAAGTCTTAAAAGTGGCCATGTTTGAGGGCCCCTGGGCTAGAGGGCAGATGACCTTCCCTTGGAGGAATTCTAGACCTTTGCAAATGGTGAGATATTTTTTTCTTTTCATTTATTTAGATCCAGCAGGATCTCTTAGGCTCTGATCAAGAAAGACTCTACAGAGAAGTGATGCAAGAGAGTTATAACACCATCTTCAGAGGTGAGATGGTTTTTTACCTATTGTTTTTGTTGTTTGTAGCACCACAAACATAAACTGGCTTTGTCCTGACTGGATTTGAATACTTACCAAGAAAACCATAGAAGTTGTGCATGAGATAGTCAGAGTTAAATTTAATTGGGGAATGTGTTTACCTCCTTAAGCAATTTGACTGAAAAATAAACTTTATGGTATTCAATCAACCTAACTCTAAGGGTTTGTAGAAGCAAAGAGTTAGAAATAGGTAATAGTCATTCGATAGATTCAAATATTGAGTTAAATCACATTTATTGAATAAACTATAACTGAACTGTTATCATTAAGCCTAAAGCATGGTATTCAAGTTACAGTTGCCAAGTTGGCATAAAATGCCAAGGCCAAAATAAAATATATTTTAAGAAATCATTTTGACTTGATTATTTTTGCCAAACCCATTTACTTTGTCTTCCCAAGAAATGTGCTTATTTCTGTTTGAAAAATGTGCTTTCAGATTTAGGATTTCAGATTTAGGAACTTAATCTAAGTGGATTTTTTTAGCCACATTATATTTTTTTTAAAAAAGCTACAAACATAAGACCTTATGAGAAAGAACTGCCCCATCTATTCCTGAACTGCTTTGATGAATAAGTAAACATTTTAAATGCTTAGGTTTTTTTTTTAAATCCCAACTAATTATGAGTCCAGTTAAGCAATTCATTGTTTTAAATTGATTAAATCTAAGCAGTTTAATCTTTATGGCATCCATATAGCTAATGCCGAATTTGTGTACAACATTTGCTCATATTTTATCAGAAGTCAGTGAACTGTCTTTTTCAGTAATACGTGTAAGGCTACATTCAGATAGTCCTTGACAAATGACTGTAAGGCAGCCTGGCCATTATGTTCCGTAGTTGTGAGAATCGTAAAACGATCACCCCGATTTTACAATCTTTTTGTGGTGGTTGCTAAGTAAACCAATTCTTTGCTATAGCCGGTTTTGCCAAAGACCAGAAGTAAATACCAGTTTTTGATAAAAACGTCGTAAAACCCATTCACATGACTGTAAGAGGATGCAAATGGACTGATTGCCAAGCGCCCCAAATCCGGTAATATGGCCTGGGTCCCCAGCTGTTCGGAACCAGGTTGTAAGTACCCCCAGAGAAGTCATTGATATCTTCAAAAAATTGCTAAGAGATTTGTCATAAATTGAGGATCACCTGTAGTATTTGCATTAATTTATATTTGTATGTAACAATAAATAATCGCGCAGAACATTTGCTCTCCTAAAATGATCTGTAGTTGTTGATAAAACAAGATTATATGCTATACCAAAATATAGCATGAGATCTGTCACTATAAATTCTACTGAAATTGAAAAAGAATTTAAATTAAGAATAATTGAAATTTATTTGATAAAAGCAGCAAACACACACACACACACACACACACACAAAATTCCCATAACATAATAAAATGGATTCAGGACTGCAACATTAAAAAGATGTAATTTAAAACATAAAAATATGGATACCACTTTGAGTTCCTTTTAGATCAATCTCAGAGGTTCTTGGCAAATCATGCAGTATGCTATGATTTAGAGACCGAGTGCCCAAAAACTGCCCTGCCCCCGCTCCACCTCCCTGCCCGTCCCCGCTCTCCCCCCATCCCCCGCCCCGCCTGCCCATAGGACCACTCACCGCCTCCAGGGCCCGCAACAGATGGCCCAGGCAGCCCAGCAGTGCTATGGCGGCCACACCCTCTGCCCGTGCCCTGCAGCATCAACTGCATGATGGGGTGTGAGGGCAGAGTCTTGTCTACGCTGCCTGGCTGCCATGTCCTTGGTTGCGCTGCTCCGTGTGGGCCACGCTCGAGGGCGAGTCTCCTTCAGGGGGGCTGCTGGAGAGGAGGGGGTCACGGGGAGACAAGGCTGGGGCAATGGCATGTGTGCCCGCAAGAGAGGGCTCTGAGTGCCGCTTCTGGCACGCATGCCATAGGTTCACCACCACTGCAGTATGCTATATACCTAAATTTTTTAATTATCAGCAGTTAAATTTAAGTTAGTTGTATAATTGCCTGCAATGTGTAATGCGGCTCAGTGCATTCAGATAGTCCTTGGCTTACAACAGTTTGTGTAGGGACCATTCAAAGTTACAATGGCATTGAAGTGACTTAAGACTGTTTTTCATCCACACGGAAGACTTACGACCCATGGTCACACGATCAAAATTCAGACGCTTGACAGCTGACATGTATTTATAACAGTTGCTTGTGTCCCAAGGTCATGCGATCACCTTTTGCGACCTTCTGACAAGCCAGGTTCACATAACAACCCATGTTACTTAACAACTGCAGTGATTCACTTAACAACTGTGGCAAGAAAGGTCATAAAATGGGGCAAAACTCACAACAACTGTCTTGCTTACCAATAGAAATTTTGGGCTCATTTGTGGCCATAAGGCGAGGACTACCTATATAATTGGTATTCCAATATATTTGTGGGCCTTCTGACAGTTGCCTGGTTGAATTTTGAAAATATGCAATTGTTTGCATGTAAGAAAATAATAGAGAGGGAAGATTTACATCCTTAAACTTATTTTGCTAGGTAACAAAAGTTATTGGAGTCTTTCTTTTTGATGTATGTACACTTGCACATATGTATATATGTCTCAGGATTTGTCTTCTTCCATATTGGCCAGAGATAGATAGAAGCATACTTTTGCCCCAGTTCATAGATAAGCTACCTTGGATTGGTAGCCTTGCAGAGCCAGAAAACTAGCCAGAGACTAATGCTGGCTGGGGAATTCTGGGAGTTGAAGTCCACAAGTCTTAAAGTGGCCAAGTTTGAGGATCCCTGGGTTAGAGGGCATATGACCTTCCCTTGGAGGAGTTGTAGACCTTTGCAAAGTTGTAGACCTTTATGTGAGATTTTTCCCCCTTTCATTTATTTAGATCCAGTTCATAGATAAGCTACCTTGGATTGGTAGGAGACTGAAAACCAGTGCATTGTGGGAGGTGCAGGGAGTTGGACTGGGATGGGGGAGAGCCAGGCTCAAGTTTTTATTTTTCTATGGACATTCATTGAAAGAATGACTCTTTCTCAAGCTAGGATTGTTGTAAAGATGAAAATGAAGTGCGGTGCCGTGTGTATTGCCTTGAACTCTTTAGAGGTGGAGAATCACGTGAAGTATTAATACCACTTTACAATGCCTTGGTAAGGCCACACTTGGAATACTGCATCCAGTTTTGGTCACCATGATGAAAAAAAGATGTTGAGACTCTAGAAAGAGTACAGAGAAGAGCAAGAAAGATGATTAGGGGACTGGAGGCTAAAACATATAAGGAACGGTTGCTGGAATTGAGAATGTCTAGTTTAATGAAGAGAAGGACGAGGGGGGGCTGCCACAAAGAAGAGGGAGTCAAGCTATTTTCCAAGGCGCCTGAAGGCAGGACAAGAAGCAATGGAGGGAAACTAACTAAAGAGAGAAGCAACCTGGAACTAAGGATAAACTTCCTGACAGTTAGAACAATTAACCAGTGGAACAACCTGCCTCCGGAAGTGGTGAATGCTCCAACACTGGAGGTTTTTAAGAAGAGATTGGACAGCCATCTGTCCGAAAAGGTATAGGGTTTCCTGCCTGAGCAGGGGGTTGGACTAGATGACCTCCAAGGTCCCTTCCAACTTTTTTTTTTAATTATTATTATTATTATTATTATTATTATTATTATTATTATTATTATAAAAGGTGAGATATAAAGCAAAGGTAAAGCTTTCCCTATCTTGGCTGAGGGAGCCAGGGTTGTCTGAAGACGTTTTCTGTGATCATGTGGCTGACGTGGGTATACGCCAAAGGCACACGGAACGCTGTTAACCTTCCCACCAAGTGGTACCTATTTATCTACTAGCATTTGCATGCTTTTAAACCGCTAGATGGGCAGGAGCTGAGGCAGGAACGGGAGGTCAGATTTCAATCCTAGACAGTCAGCTTTCCAGCTGACAAGCTCAACGTCTTTAACACTTGAGCCATCGCGCCCCCTGATATAAAGCAAATAATGTGAGCAGGGATGCTACCGTCGCCAGCTTCTTCTCTTGCCTGCACGAAAGCCTCTGCTTGTTTATAAGTTTTCTGCAGCAGAAGAATATATACTTTAGCTCACTTGCTTCTTTGCTCTCTGTTTCTGTCTCTCTCTCTCTTTCAGCTTCTCCTCTTCAGCTTCAAAAATCTGAACTCCTGGCGCATCTGAAACGAGGACAGGAAGGACTTCAGAGTTCCAGCAATGGTACTGATCAAAAGCTGGTTAAAGAAGCCCGGAAGAAATGGCCAGAAGCAGGAACCTGGTGGAATTCCTACCGGAGTCCCGTGAGCGTGCCCACTTCAGATTCATCAAGTTCAGGTCAGGGTTGCCCCTAAATCTTGGCGTCCCCCTGGGGTCACCTTTGTAGCTTCAGACATTCTCTGTCCTCAGAAATGGCTTCATCTATAGATGTCTACCTAGAACAGGGGTAGGCAACCTTGGCTCTTTTATGACTCGTGGACTTCAACTCCCAGAATTCCTGAGCCAGCCATGCTGAGGGGAAAGGGAGAGTTTCCGAGCTGAGCCATGCTGGCTCAGGAATTCTGGGAGTTGAAGTCCACGAGACATAAAAGAGCCAAGGTTGCCTACCCCTGTCCTAGAATATCAAGGTGGTGATAAACCCTGGTTAAAGGTCAGTCCCCTGACTTCCGGCCACAATTGAACTGAAGATTTCCATTGCTAAGCAAGACAGTTGAGAGTTTTGCCCGAGTTTACGACCTTCCTTGCCACAGTTGTTAAGTGAATCACTGCAGTTGTTCAGTTAGTAACATGGTTGTTAAGTGAATCTGGCTTCCCCATTGAATTTGCTTGTCAGAAGGTCAATTGACACTGAGGAACCTGAAACGGTCGTGAATGTGAAAAAAATAGTTATAAGTCACTTTTCAATGTTGTTGATACTTTGAACGGTCACTAAATGAGTGATTGTAAGTCGAGGACTACGGTACATGGTTAAGGTGCTGGCCTGGAAACTAGAAGATGGTAAGTAATGGACCCTTCTTAGCCATGAAAGCCAATTAGGTGACTTTGGCCAGTCCCTCTCTCTCAGTCCATCCCACCTCACAGGGTTGTTGTGGGGAAAAGAGAAGGAGGAGAAAGTGTTAGGTATATTCATTGCCATGAATCGTTTGTAAAAATCGTAATAAGTATTACTTAACTTTAGGAACTAAGATCCAGTTAATTTGTTTTCCCTTTTTGGTTTTTGGAAATTAGGTATGATGATGATATTGTTGTTGTTGTTGTTGTTGGAAGGGACCTTGGAGGTCATCTAGTCCAACCCCCTGCTCAGGCAGGAAACCCTATACCATTTCGGAGAAATGGTTGTCCAGTCTCTTCTTAAAAACTTCCGGTGTTGGAGCATTCACCGTTTCTGGAGGCAGGTTGTTCCACTGGTTAATTGTTCTGACTGTCAGGAAGTTTCTCCTTAGTTCTAGGTTGCTTCTCTCCTTGGTTAGCTTCCACCCGTTGCTTCTTGTCCTGCCTTCAGGTGCTTTGGAGAATAGCTTGACTCCCTCTTCTTTGTGGCAGCCCCTGAGATATTGGAACACTGCTATCCTGTCCCCCCTCGTCCTTCTCTTCATTAAACTAGACATACCCAATTCCAGCAACCGTTCCTTATATCTATTAAATCAGTCTAAAATTGCATGCTTTTGTCTTTAAATGTCAGGATTGATATGGCTGAATAACCTGGAATGTTCCTGTTGTGAGATGAGAAAAATGTTCACGGCACGAATCTTAATTTTTTCCTCCTAAATTCAAAGCCCAAGCCTGATTTTGCCTTACAATCTGGAACGTATCCCGTTTTGGTGATGTGGTGAAATCTCCAGCTGGAATGGTGTGTGTGTGTGTGTGTGTGTGTGTGTGTGTGTGTGTGTGTGTGTGTGTGAGTGAGAGAGAGAGAAGTTAAGAGGCTGGTTAGCTTGGAATTCTTGCAGGGAAGGAAGAAAGGAATCTGTCCTCTGGCTGTTCCCAAGACAAATGCAATTAGTCTGGTGAGATTCTTGTACAGATAGTTCTCAACTTACAACAGTTTGTTTAGTGACAGCACTGCAAAAAAGGTAACCTGTGACCATTTTTCACACTTAACAACCGTTGCAGCGTCCCCAGGGTCACGTGAGCAAAATTTGGACAGTTGGCAACTGGCATGTACTTAAAACGGTTGCAGTGTCCTATGGTCACGTGATCCTCTTTGGCAGCCTTCTAGCAAGCAAAGTCAAACGGGGAAGACAAATTCACTTTACAACCGTACCAACTTAACAACTGCAGTGATTCACTTAACCACTGTGGCCAGAAAGGTAAAGTGGGGCAAAACTCGCTTAACGGTAGAAATTTTGGGCACAGTTGTGGTTGTAAGCTGAGGATTACCTGTAAATAGGGAAGATGTAAATAAAAAAGATGTTGAGACTCTAGAAAGAGTACAGAGAAGAGCAACAAAGATGATTAGGGGACTGGAGGCTAAAGCATATAAGGAAAAGTTGATGGAACTGGGTATGTCTAGTTCAGGGATAGGCAACCTTGGCTCTTTTATGACTCGTGGACTTCAACTCCCAGAATTCCTGAGCCAGCCATGCTGGCTCAGGAATTCTGGGAGTTGAAGTCCACGAGTCATAAAAGAGCCAAGGTTGCCTACCCCTGGTCTAGTTTAACGAAGAGAAGGACGAGGGGGGACATGATAGCAGTGTTCCAATATCTCAGGGTCTGCCCCAAAGAAGAGGGAGTCAAGCTATTCTCCAAAGCACCTGAAGGCAGGACAAGAAGCAACGGGTGGAAACTAATCAAGGAGAGAAGCAACCTAGAACTAAGGAGAAACTTCTTGACAGTTAAAACAATTAACCAGTGGAACAACCTGCCTTTAGTAATTGTGGGTGCTCCAACACTGGAAGTTTTTAAGAAGAGACTGGACAGCCATTTGTCCAGAATAGTATAGGGTTTCCTGCCTGAGCAGGGGGTTGGACTAGATGACCTCCAAGGTCCCTTCCAACTATTATTATTATTATTATTATTACTATTATTATTATTATTATTATTATTATTATTATTATTATTATTATTATTATTACTATTACTATTACTGTTGTTGTTGTTGTTGTTGTTATTATTATTATTATTATTAACTGATTGGCTCACGGTTCTGGTTCCTTACACTTGACATTAATCTTCTCAGACTAACTGCATCTCGGGAACAGGCAGATGAGGCCTTGAGAGATTTGGCAGGTTGGGGGGTGGGGAGAAGAGTGTCTGGTCTCTGTCGCTTCCCGCCCTGCAGGGATTCCAGGCTAGCCAACCTCTTAACTCCACTCTCCACTCTTAACTGGGGAGCCCACCACAGGTGGCATCTTTACTGCCTGTCTGGAAACATTCTTTTCTGCTTTTCTCCCAGCAGACGATGACGTCACAAGCGAGAAGGAAGAGGAGGAGAGCGTTCAGTGGAAGAACCAGCGGGTTGGGAAGCCTCGGGCTGCTTTGCTAGGCCAATGGGAGAGCGTCCAGCGGCAGGGGAAAGCGTGCAAGATTCAGCACAGCCGCCTGCAGAACTCTCGCCCCAGTGTTAATTGTGCTGAGGTAAAAAAGAAAGGCCTTCTTGCCGGCAGCGACAGCCAGCAAGGAATTAATACCGAAGACAGCCAGAATGAATGCACTGTGTGTGGGAAAAGCTTTGGCAGGAGATCATCCCTCATCAGACACTTCAAAGTCCACAGCGGAGATAAACCTTTTCGGTGCTCCATCTGTGGCAAGTGCTTCCTGGCGAAAACCAGCCTGATTTTACATAAAGAGAGTATGCATAAAAAACGAAGAGGAAAGAAATGTTGGGAATGTCGTGAGTGCGGGCAGAGCTTTGCCACGAAAGCCTTTCTGACGGAGCACCGCGAGATGCACAGCGGTGAGAAGACGTATCCGTGCCCTGCCTGCGAGAAAAGCTTTGCGGAAACCAGGCACCTCGTGAAGCATCTTATGACCGCTCACTCAGGGGAGCATGTCTTCAAGTGCCCTGTGTGTGGGAAAGGCTTCATGAAGGAGAAGGACCTCATGAGGCACCGAGCAAAGAACCACGGGAAGAGCCACTGCTTTCTAAGCCTGGACGATGAAAACGGCTGCAAGGAAAAACCATCCCCAGTCAAACACAAGAGACTTCATTTGAACCCCGACATTCTGCCTCGTGCCGCGTCCGAAGGAAACGCTGGGGTGGGGCGCGCCCTTCGCTGTGCTCATTGCGGGAAGTCTTACAAGCAGGAGAAAGCTTTTATTAATCATCAGAATGTTTGTGTGAGGCAGCAACCAAGTGCTGAAGGGAAAGTCCCCAAGGGAGACGGTCCTCCCCTCACTAAAAACCAGATCACCCACGTGGAAATGAACGATAACACTTGCTTCGACTGTGGAAAACCCGTCTGCAAAAGTTCACCGCTGGCCTCCGAGCCCAAGACGGACCAGGAGAAAAACCTCCAGGTGTGCCCGGAATGTGGGGAAAGCTTTAGGGACGGCCAATGTTTCGCGGATCACCTGAGAAGCCACCAAGAGGCGCCATCTTCTCAAAACGCCTCCAGTTGGGAGGGCCTCGGGGGAAAAACACTGCCCGTTGGCCGGCAGGAAACGCAGGAGAAGAAGAGCCGCTACCAGTGCCAAGGCTGCCGGCGAGACTACTCGACTCATTATAACCTCAGGAGGCACCAACGCATCCACACGGAATGCCGGTCCAGAAGGAACGCTCACAAGGGGAAGGATGCCGCCTACGGCTGGTTCTTCCCAGACTTGCAGAAAGGCCGTGGCGGCAAAGAACCGGCCCTTCAGCACAAGTGCACCTACTGCGGGAAAGGGTTCAAAACGAAAAGCACCCTCGGTCGACATCAGCAGATCCACATCAAAGGCAAGCCTTACAAATGCAGCATCTGCGGGAAAGCATTTGTCTACTGGTACACCCTTGCTCACCACCAAGAAATCCATCTGGAAGACCAGCTCTACCAGCACAAGTGCTCCTTCTGCACGAAAGCCTTCAGGACCCCGTCGGCCCTCCGCCGACATCAGCAGCTGCACAAGGAAGGCAAGCCGTACATCTGCAACATCTGCGGGAAAGCTTTTGCCTACAGGTACAACCTCACCCATCATCGGGAAATACACGTAGAAGGGCAGATCTATAAGTGCTCTTTCTGCTGGAAAGCCTTCCGAACCAGTTACTCCCTCAGCAGGCACAAGCGCATCCACACGGAGACCAGGTCCTACCAATGCCCTACTTGCAGGAAAGCCTTTGGAACAAAGTACTCCCTTTGGAGGCATCAGGAGATGCATGTGAAAGAGGATCCAGACAGTTTGCTTGGCGGGAAAGAGGCTGGGGACGACTGGGTCAGAGATCAAGCTAGCGGTAGCGACGACAGCGTGGACAAACAGGTTGCCAGTTCGGTCCACTCTCAATGCCAGGGAGTCCACAAGGAAAAAAAACCTCCTGAAGGTTCTGGGAATAGGAGCAGCTCGCCCCTCCCCAATCATCAAAGCCCCCGCGTAGAAGAAAATGCTACTAAACAGTCGGACAGTCAGACTTTCAGGAACGTTGAGTTAGGGGTTAAAGGTCAAGACAGGCCTGTAAAAGGAGAGCTCCAGCAGTGGACCAACGGTTCGGTGTACACAGGACAGGGAGTCCAATCGGAGGAAGGTCCCCCAGGGTCCTCTGAAAACGGGGAAGTTTTCTTAGGCAACTTGGGAAACCATGCCATTAAAGAGCCAGCTGACTGGTGTTTCCTAGGTAAATTGCCCAGTGTTGGTCAACAGGGAATGGTCCTGCAGGAAAAGAAATATACTTGCTCTAATTGTGGGAAGTCCTTTAGAGATAAATACTCCCTTACAAGACATCAGAAAGTCCACATTCCTGAGAGACCCTATCAGTGTCCAAGATGTGAGAAAAGTTTCCGCAGCGCTAAAGACCTGGACAAGCATCAGATAACCCATTCAGATCTGAGGCCTCATCAGTGTGGAGAATGCGGGAAATGCTTGAAGACGAAATACTCGCTCGATAAGCATCAGAAGACCCACAAAGGGGAAAAGCCGTTCTGCTGCTCTTACTGTGGCCGAAGGGTTACCACGAGCACAATTCTTCGGTATCATCAGAGAACCCACACCGGGGAGAGGCCGTATAAATGTGCAGTGTGTGATAAAAGTTATATCAGCAAATGGTCCCTTAAAAAACATTTGGAGTTGCATTACAAAACGAGTCTGCCAAAGGACCCTCAGGAAGCAGATCAGCTCGATCAGAAATTTTAAGGTGTCTTTGTCACTTGTGGGTGAAGAAACGGGATACCTTTCTGGTCCATAAAGGTTGGAGGCCTTTTGGAACAGGTCTGGGTTGAAACACCCAGACCTTTAAAATTCCCAGGTTCTTTCTAAGCCCAGTGACTAGCTACCTCAGAAACAGATTTTTGAATGTACTTTAGCTTTCCAATCTCGAATCATTCAGACATCTTTGCTCCAAAAATGAACATCCTTATCACGAAGAGCCTGTAAATAAAGAGGCTCCGTTTATTTTGAATGAGTGGACCTGACTGAGAACTTGGCTGCTGGAAAAAATGATAAGAGCATTGATGATGATCCTACAGTTTAGAGTGAAGGCAACGATGGGTTTGAGCTGTCTTTCATTTCTTAATATTGTTTTCCCATTGTGAAAAGCAAATGTGTTTAAAATAATTCCTCTTCTGCAGCGTGCATATGTAAAAAAAAAAAAAAGAGACACAGGACAATTTTGTCAAAATATTTTAAGCGTGGGTGAGAAGGTTATAGTCTTGTTTTTCATAATGAAAATACTTCTGGTTTATGCAGTGAATGATAAAACAGATTAAATACGTGAAGTTTTTCCAATGCACTTCGCATCGCAAAGAAGACATTCAAGGGTCAAATATTCTAAATCTTCCAAATGTTAGGAATTGTGCATTTTGGGATCTGTAGTCAATAATACAAAACAGTTTTCCATACACTTTAGAACCTGTTTTAAATTGAAAGCCATTGTTTTACCATTGGTAAAGTAATTCAGAAGTTCATTGACACACTTTCTCTCCCTCTCGCCTGCTGGTACCACTGCCATGTTGTTACACAATAGAGAAGAAGGAATCTCAAGTTATTGGAACTGCAAGGAAGATGCAGGCTTTATCTTAAACGGGGGAGATCTACTAGTATGCTCTCTTGGTTGCAAGTAGAAGTTTTACAAACAAAAATGAAAAGTTAACTTCCTTGGACGATGTCCCCACCATTTTCAGTTACGCTTGCTTGAAATGATACCAGCTGTAAAGGATCTGAAGCCACAAGAAGTGGAAAGTCACAGTATTATACTGATACCAAATACCGAAATGCAAAATCAAGATTCTCTAATTTTAAATAAAAGTGGAAAGTCCCAGTGTTACGGTGAATTAAGAAATACTGAAGTATAAGTCAGAAAAATTGGATTTTTTTAAAATAATGTGTAAGGACCCTAAAACGATTGTATGAAATCTGTTTTAAATGAAAACTTTTGTCAGTCGGGAATCTTGCATGGACATTTTATGACTGTAGCTGTTTTATTGGGAGAATTGCAATTTGCTACAGGTTATCAAGTAAAGCGTGAGTTGCATTATTTCTAGTGTCAGTTCTTTATAAAATGTTTGTTTTCTGCAGCCATTTTTCCGGATTTTATTTGGGGTGAGATGGATAATTGGAGTCAAAAGGCTGGGTTTCATTGAAATGTTAGCATATTTATTCACACTAGCAGAAAAGTAAATGGCACAGACAGTGCTGTCACGCAACAGAACTGAACAAAAAAATGCCTGCGAAAAATGGGATTTGTTTTCACTGGCAATCCAGAGGCAGCTGCATTTCTAGCTGAAATAATGGAGGAATTGAGAGGGGCATACTGTATTGCAGCATTTCTCAACTTTAAGATGCGCGGACTTCAACTCCCAGAATCCCTGGCTGGGGAATTCTGGGAGTTGAAGCCCATGCATCTTAAAAGTTGCCACGGTTGAGAAATACTGCTGTATTGGTTTGTGTTTCTGAGCCAACCAAGGGAGGTTTACACTGAATTTTCTTCAGAGCTGTAACTGTAACAACACTTAGGCAGTTGAATGTAGCTTTTAACTCAAAGCAGTGTTTTTCAAACTTGGCCATTTCAGGATATGTGGGCTTCAACTCCCAGAATTCCCCAGCCAGCATGGGTCTCATGCTGATATAAGTTATCTTGTCAAGGATTGGGCAGAAATAAAGTGCTGACTTTCTCTGCAAATAGAGTTGTGTTCTGTTTGTGTGGTGGAGATGAGCCCTGTTGTGGGATTCAGTATTATCGTGTGGCACCTGGATTGGAATTTCATCTGTTTTGGGTAAGTATTAAGTAGTGAATATGACCCATCCTGTCAGAAGCCAGAGGAAACTCATCCTGTTTCTGTGGTTTTTAATTTCTTTAGCCAGATGAGTTGGGGATTCTGTTTGGAAATTACATCTGAAGGACACCATGCTGGGAAGGATAACATTCCTCTTATTTTGCCTTGGAAAACCCTGCAGAGCCCCAGGAAATTATTCTGCAGATAAAACTCAGGAACTACCTCCCGTCCATGGTGCTATCCTTCTTGACCCTTAAAATCCCCCCCTTTTTTGCCATCTTACTTCCTCTGATTTACCGTTACCTCACTGATGTGCTATGGGTCTACAAATTGTCCTTGGCTTACAGTCATTTGTTTAGTGACCATTCACTAAAAAAAGTGACTTATGACCAATTTTCACACTTATGACCATTGTGACATCCCCATGGTCACGTGTTCAAAATCCAGGCTCTTGGCAACTGGAATGTATTTATGACAGTTGTACTGTCCTGGGGTCATGCGATTACCATCTGTAACCTTCCCGGCCAGCTTCCAGCAATCAAAGTCAACGAGGGAAGCCAGATTCGTTTAAAAACTGCATGATTCCCTTAACTCAGGGGCCTTCAAACTTGGCCCTTTTATGACTTGTGGACTTCAACTCCCAGAATTCCTCAGCCAGCGTGCCCTGGCTGAGGAATTCTGGGAGTTGAAGTCCACAAGTCATAAAAGGGCCAAGTTTGAAGATCCCCTGCACCATTGCAGTGAGCCACTTAATAACTGTTGCAAAAAAGGTTGTAAAATGGAGCAAAACTCGCTTAACTGCCTTGCTTAGCAACAAAAAATTGGGGTTCAATTATGGTTGCAAGTTGAGCATCACTTGTGTACTGTGAAATCCCAGCCACGCAGTCCAAGCCATGCTGATTGTCAAACTAGCAAATGTTTCAGACTACCGGCAGGTTACAAAGATTAGGAGAACCTATTTTAATGGTGTTAAAGGAACAGGGGCAAAGCTGATGGCAAGAAGGGTGGGACTGCAGTTAGCAACTGTGAAGCAGGCTGGACCAATTTTCTATTTTCTCCTGTTTTAAGTGGGAAGTGTTTTTTCTTTTATTTATACATTAGGCTAAGTCTGTTTTAAGGCTTACACGCAGCTTTTTATATCAGTTACAAAGTGGTAACACACCGGTATTTTAACCAATTAAAGCAGTGTTTCCCAACCTTAAATCATTTCAAAAAGTATGGACTTCTTAATATGGAGAAGATGGATTGCTTATATCCAAAAAAAGCATAGCATGGTGGAATATAATTTAGGTTTTTAGTTAACTTTTTTTTGTTTTTCATATATATATATTTCACCTACTTATGTAGAATGATATTTTGTGGAGTTAGGGATATTAATATTAGTTTACTTTTATTTGAATAGTATCCTGGGATTAGGTTTGGGAAGTCTCGGGGGGTGGGGGGGTGGGGGATGTGGGTTTTATATTATATTTGTGTTATATTTGTATGTTTTCTTTTTATGATGAAAATAATAAAAAAATTTATTGAAAAAAAAAAAAAGTATGGACTTCAACTCCCAGAATACCCCAGCCAGCTGGGGGTTGAAGTTTACACATCTTAAAATGGCTGAGGTTGGGAAACACTGAGTTAAAGGAACTGCTGCTTCAGATTGGTCAGCCCTGATGTGGAGGGTCACATGGTGGTCACGATCATGTGATTAAAGCCCCACCTTTTTAAACAAGCAAAAGGGGTGGGGCTTGAATTGTATGGGTCATGGCCACCATCTTCACTTTTTTGGCCCTTCCCACAGATGCATGATTCCGCCCCCCCCCCCAGCCAATTTTGAGGCCAATTCTAGGAAAGGTGCTGAATTCAAGAGTCCAGATTCTGATAGACATGTCTTCTGGGATCAACTATTTTCTGTGCAATCCTTGTCAAAGCTGGCTGGCTATTCTTTAAAAGATAGTGGGGGGAGGGGGGTATCTCTCCTGCCATAGTTTTTGTCAGGTTCCACTTTGCCAATAGATGGATTATACATACAGCCATTCCAGTCTCATGTCTTTGTGGCCTGAGGCGCTCTTGCAGATCAACCCTTCTAGCTCCTGATGTGAAGTTGTTAAGTTTCTCACACAAACCTGACATCTGGGTTCAAACATTACATGAGTGCTCTTTATGGCTGTGACATCAAATTCCATATAAAGCAGAGATCTTCAAACTTGGGCCTTTTATGACTCATGGACTTCAACTCCCAGAATTCCTCAGCCAGGCACTGACTGAGGAATTCTGGGAGTTGAAGTCCATGAGTCATAAAAGGCCCGAGTTTGAAGACCCCTGCTATAAAGTAATGGCTGGTGTTTCAGTCGTGACTTTATAGTTCCACAATGAAATGTGATGTCACAAACACACGGCTGATTTGAGAGAAAAATGTATCATTTGTGCAAGAACTTTTGACACTACTAAAAGAGATCTTTGTGATGTTGCCTTTAAATGCAGTTTCCACTGTTAACCATGCACTTCACAAATGAAGCAGGAACTGTGGGCACCTGCTGGGCAAACAACATTGTAAAACGTAGGAATGCTCCAGGGAATGCTTGGATGCAGGAGGCTGCAACAATTTAAAATGGATTCAAACATCACTTCGAAAGGTGGAACAATCACAAGATAATTGTGTGAGTTCCCCATCACTGGAGGTTCTTAATAAAAGATCAGATAATCATTTGTCCAGAAGGGTATAAGGACTCCTGCTTTGGGCAGAGGATTGGACTAGAACAAAGCTGGCTGAGGAATTCTGGGAATTGAAGTCCACAAGTCTTAAAGTTGCCAAGGTTGAGGACCCCTGGACTAGAAGACCTCCAAGTTCTATATTCTGTGATACTAATATTCACAAGATTGTTACAGCGACAATGAAATCTGAGAAATACCTGTTATCAGACAATACCATCCTTTTTTTT